TATTTCATTTAATACATTATCATAATAAGCTGCAATTTAAAACATTGGGTCTTTAGCATCACAACAAAACAAAGAGACACTGGTTTACATAACATTTTCTTAATTTTGGGGGGGTTTAATATTAAAAGGTGCCTTTATCCAGCAGGCAGTTAGCTTTGCATTAAATATTTATTACGGCATTCATCATCACAGACAGAGCACAACAAGGATCAAGGCAATAATTCTCCAGGAATTCAATTAAAAAGTACTCTGAGGTTACTTCTTTCTTTTAATGATCTTATGGATATATAAGTATCCATATAATCTTCTGTAACAGGTGTATTACCAACACAAAACTATAGAACGCCAGAAAACAACTCACTCCATACATAAACGCTAGATGCAATCAGTGCTAAACCCATTGAAAGTGGTCATGACACAGCCAGAATCATAACCATGACCGTCATTGCAAGCTAGTCTGTTTCAACAGCAGGAAGATAGATTTCAAGAAATTATGCATCCAAGGCTTCAGCTCGCTCATGATTTTGGATTTGTTCTTGCTTTTAGAGAAGAGTAAGAACAGTAAAGTGTGGCAGACATTTTTGTAGAGTAAGGGTGTTTTTACATCAATAGATGGTTTATTCTGGTCCCAATCAATTTATGAGTTAATAAACTTGTAGCTTTTCCCTATGATTTGGTTTGAGAAAAATCCAAGTGAACTCAAAGGAAACCAGAATGAGCCGCTAGAAACCATGTGAGAATATTTAGTCCACTTATTGGCCAGGTGTGTCTGGGGAGTGAGCAAATACAGGAAGAAGGTGGTGTTTGTGGGACCGTCGGAGAATTTACGTTCACAGCTAGTTGCTAGCTCATACAGATCATTTTTTCATCTATAGTACCTTTCCACAATCTGGAATATAAAGCGTACATGGCTACAATGCACACTTGGTCTTGGTCTGGATCAAGGGCTGCAAGGATCCATTGAGTTATTCAAATAATTTGATTATAAAAAATCTTCGACCCACATTCTTTGCTTCAATGCATTGTTTAACACACGGCTGTGTAGCCTGCCAATGTGTTAAACAATGGAGACGTTTAACCAATGAGCCTCCTGAATTTATATTAAAATATGCAGATGAACTGTTAATTTAGTCTGATACCAAGTTTACTTGCACACTGAACTCAAACATGAGCGGACACCAGAACTGCCTCGTTTCAGAACTCTTTTTGCCTCCTATTAATGTTAGGAAGCCAGAAAGAAGACATAGTAAAGATAATTTGTTATGCCTTAGTTTAGATTGAATATATGTCTTTTGACTGTATTGGGATTATTTATGTATTTTTGTATTTAAGAAAATGTTTCTTTTAAAAGAATTTTAATATGCCACATACATGCAATCCAAGAGTTGAGTTTAAATTTGTTCACAAATTTGTTGTATGCAGTTAAGTTTTAAAACATTGCAGTTTCTAAAATCTTCTCAAAAACCAGTGAGCAGTTCATTCTGAAAGCCTTGGGGTTTTTTTTCTCTTTTTGGGATATTTATTGCTTATTAATAAGAAGAAAGTATTTCTTAGCATATTACATGATTGATCAATGGAATAATCAATAGATTCCTTGATTTCAAAAATAATTGATAGCTGCAGTCCTAGATTGAGGTCAGATCATGTTCACTCCATAAACAAACCGTTCTGGAGTTGATTCAGAACTGCTCTGAGACCACTTCCTCCAAATGGTCTCAGTATGCTTGTTTGGCGATTCACATCTGCACAAATGAATCTGGCCAAGGAGGAAAACAAACCAGACTTTGATTTAAACAGAAGGTGTGAAAACACTCTGACACTGCCCTCTTCAGTTCTGCTACCAGATCTCATGAGCACTCTTTAGCAGCTGAATGTACTGCACTTCAAACTTTCCTGAAAGTTGTTCTGCTGTCAGGATTTTCCAGTTTGTGAAAGAGTAGAACAGAGACAAGCAGATGGCAACTTTGAAGTGTTGACTTGACTTGGGTTTATTCATTGATTTGTTCATAATAGTATGTTTTAAACCCTAATCCCAGTTGATAGATGAGCAGATCCTGTGTGTCCATGGTGGTCTCTCACCGGACATCAAGACTTTGGACCAGATCCGAACCATCGAACGCAACCAGGAGATTCCTCACAAGGGGGCTTTTTGTGATCTTGTGTGGTCAGATCCAGAGGATGTGGACACCTGGGCTATCAGTCCACGAGGTGCTGGCTGGCTTTTTGGCTCCAAGGTTACTAATGAGGTATGTTGAACCATCCGTGTTGGAAAACCAGTCATTGGAAAGCATCCTTTAACCCAGGTGTGTCAACCTCCTTTTACTTACTTCTCTGATCTGTTGTGTTTTAGTTTGTTCACATCAACAACTTGAAGCTCATCTGCCGTGCACACCAGCTGGTTCACGAAGGCTACAAGTTCATGTTTGATGAGAAACTGGTGACCGTGTGGTCAGCGCCCAACTACTGCTACCGCTGTGGGAACATTGCCTCCATCATGGTCTTCAAGGACGTCAACAGACGAGAGCCCAAGCTGTTTCGAGCCGTTCCCGACTCTGAACGTGTGATACCTCCTCGAACAACCACCCCCTACTTCCTCTAATGATAAAGCGGAAGTTTTCTCTTAGCTCTACCCTCTGGACTTCTCATCCCTCAAATATTATTCAGCAAAAGATTACATGCAGGAAATCTTATAAGACTTCCTGGATTTTGTTTTTTGCACTTCTCTCTGTGCAGCTGAAGAGCACCTGTTGGGTCAGCCATCAGATCCATGCCGTGCTTCCTTCCTTTTTTGTAAACTCAAAACATGTTTTAGGAAATTAACACAAGTTAAGAGTGTTTTGAGTAGCAAAGAGTTTCTTTAAGCTACAGTCTGTTTGCACCACACCGACATTCTGCCATAAAAGTAGGAAAAATATCTTTTTATACGCCCAATGCCAGACTCATACTGTTAAATGACTTCATATTTTAAATAATTACAATTTTTGATCTTATGTATCCCTCCCAAGGAAAGTAATTGACAAATATTTATAGTAGCGCGTGCCAACAATAGATGCATATAAGTGACGTGATAAATACTGTTTCCTTTGATTCACTGTGTAAAAAGCTGAGCGATTCTCTCAGCGTTTTGCCTTAACTGCTGATTTCATACTTTAGCTTCAGTTTAGTTTTCCTTTTTTATTTATTCAGTTCAAAAAGTGTCTTGCTACTGCACATGGATTTTTTTTTTCTTTTTTAAATGGCAAGTTCCCACAGGTATCTTTCTTTTTAAAATTTCCCATCCATCTCTGCAGTGTGATGAATTATGGCATTTTATAAGCAGAATCTTTAATTGTGGAAAAATAAATAGCTGAAAAGTAGCTGTAATTCTAGGAGAGCATAGGCCTCTTTAACATTGTTTTCCTGTTTTTGTTTTTTGTTGTTGTTGTTTTAATTTCAATAAAACATTCTTCCTTAATATTTGCAAGTAGTTGTCATTTGAACCTTACTAATGATGTAATTTTGGCCCAGGATTGCCAAACTCAAATTTACTGAGGCTAAATGTAGGTAAAAGGGAGAGGTTTCAAATGACAGAAGCTATCTAGAGCAACCACATCTCTTACCTGACGTGACCCTTCAAAATTTACCCAAAATGCACTTTTTGAAGTTCTCTCCATCAATCATCAGACAACAGATCAAACATCCAGGGCACCAGTGCTTGTTTCTGTTTCTTCTATAGGTATTAATTTGGTGTGGGTTTACTCCTAAAACAAGCTCAGTTTGTTTATTTATTTATTTATTTTTATCCTTTTTGGCTTTACATTATGACACTTGGAAAGAATGTAAAATCAATGTGATTAACTTTTTTTTTTTTTTTTAAGTTTAAATGTGTTTAAATTTCAATTTTTTGCTAGGCTTGGACCTTCCTCAAATTTTTGTTAACTAGGTCCAAAACCCCCTGCGGCTTTCTGCGGAACAGCGACTCAAAGGGAGAAAACCCGTGGAGGCCTCCCGCAAACAACAGATGTGCTAACCAGCGAGCTCAATTGCCTTCATCCTCGTGACTAAACTTACAAATCATGAACTTTAAAGTGTTATTCAGCTGCTCCATCAGTCTGAGGGTGGTACATACTGGTCCGAACAGATTTACAGAATGGTGTGCCCTGGTCATTCAGTATCTATTTGAGGATCTGAAACACCGCCTGCCCCACACTTATTGCAGAAATGGTGCATAGCAGCACTGCTTCGAGATACCGTAATCGACCACAACTAGTACAAAGCCTTATTCCCATGCATTCCAGTGAAATGGCCCAGTGAGGACCATACCTATGTACTCAAAAGGGACCTCTATTAATGTCAGTGAGTGCAAAGGCACTTTTGGAATGGCTGGCTGGTTAACCAGCTGAAACTCCAGGCAGAATGCGCACCATTGGCGCACATCCGCTAGGATGACCGGCCAATAAAATCAGGCCATTATCTGCTCCAGAGTTTTATCATATCCCATGTGACCGGCCATTGGGTTGTAATGAGTCGCCTGGAAAATTCATTTCCCGGGGCCTTTTAGGCACCAACCAGCCTCCCCTGTCACCACACCCTGAATCCTCTGCTGCACCCCTCCCCTGAACAGAGCCACAAACCACACCCCACGACACCCTAGTTTTATTTGTGGTTTGTTGGATATGTAAAGGTTGAATGAGAGGCAAAACCTTCAGCTTTCAGGGCCCTCCTCTGTGGAAACAGCTCCCAGTTTGGATTCAATACACAGACAACCCTACTCCTTTTTACGATTCTTCAACTTCAAACTTTCCTTTTTGATAAAGCTTACAGCTAGGGCTGGATCAGGTGACCCTGAAGCCAGCCACCTAAGCCTGAATTGAATGTTAATATTGAAACACTCCACCTTTGAGCCACCAGTATTTTGTAATCATTATCTAAAATGGCATTAAGGAATCATAGGATCATACTACTACTGGTTGAAATTTTGGCTATTAAAAACTGTAACGATGTGAAGCTCTTATTTTGAAATAGTTGACCCGGAAATAGCTAGCCAGTTGGAGTGGAGTAGTGGCAGCGGCGGTCCTCACCCTGCCTTCTGTTTCTCGTCGCCTGTCACAGCCTTTGAGCAGCGTTCAAGCTCGGACAGACAGCAGTCCAATCAACGCTGCGGGGGAACTCGTTAGCCGGTCTGGTGGCACTTCCACGCACTGAGATGCCAGGAAAGTCGCGCTTCAGCAGTAGAGCTCGTCGAGGCTTTCGCTGTGATTTTTGAGAAGCATCTCTGTGAAAGATAGTACAGTTTGTCACCGTTAGCCGGCTGCACAGGTAAGAACAAATGGCAATTACACAAGCAGAGGCGGTTAAGGCCCTGCAACCGCCAGCACTCAGTGTCACCTGCATATATGTGGTATTCTCTGTTATCTTTAATATCCAGATGCTTATTATGTTGAGATTTTATTCATGATGCTGATGTTAGATATCAGGAATTAGCTATGTTATTAGAGCTCATAGCACAATCACGCTCTTTGATACAGATTTTTACCGGCAAAGACAGAAATTTGAATTGCATTTAAATGAATGCCACCCATCTACCAGTGATAATAATATTGGTATTCAGTTTACCTAATTTTAAAAAAAAAAATTCTCCAAACTTCATTGTTATTTTTGGAGATCTTTCTTCCAAACATAGTGACAAATACTACTTGTGCTGCATGTTGTGTTGGTTTGGAACAAAGAGATGTTCACAGGTGAGACAGGTTTTTACCAACTCTGCTGCTGTTAACATGATAAGTAAGCCACAAGGGAAAGCGAGAGAAAACAATGGTACACATGATGTATAGCATGAGATTGTCATGCAGACCTTCTCTCACAGCTTCTCGCCTTCATTTAAAACTGAGCATAAGTTTTAGGTACTACAAGTAAAATAAGGCTTCACACACTTCATACAAAGAACATCAGTTTCATGAAATAATTAGACAATACAAAAATAACCAAGGTGCCGTCTTCGCATGTCTTATTTAAGAAGCAGCTAGGGCACTCTAACTTACAAGACAGAAGTGTTCGCAGCATATTCTGAAAAATCTTTACATGAAAAACCTCACTTTTACCATAGCCTAAACGTATTTATTTAAATAAAAATATAAGCAGCACCCCAAAGTAAATGAGTGTAATGACGTGCCATTCCACGTCATTACACTCATTTACTTCATTACATAAGTTAAGTAAAGATAGCTTGAGTTCCGTTCACAAGTTTTCCTGCGCACAGTGATAGTCACCATCCCACTAACTCACTTAACTCTAGACTTTGCTAATCTAGCATTGGACTAAACTGTAATCATAATAGAGCAGGGCGATATGGCCAAAAATATTTATCACGATATATATTTGAAAATTTGCAATAACGATATAACTGACGATATAATTGATGCAAGACAAAATACAACTCCACAACATTACTAGTGCAAAAAGACAACCTTCCATTTATTTTCACTTAAACAAGAAGCTGGTTTTTATGTACATTAAAGCTTTATAAAAATGTAACAGTGCAAATGCAAATTCCTTGCTGAAAGTTTAACCAAAAGGCATTTCCAGTAGAAATGGGCTGACATATCCTGAGCATAACCATGTATAATATCCACTGAAGTTAAAAAGAGGTGCTTTGCAACATTAAACTGCAGTGTGCAGTACGTATTTTTCGGACCATAAGGTGCACGGGATTATAAGGCACATTAAGCGAAACAAAGCAGTCAGATAAATCAAACTTTATTAAACTCATTCTTCTTGCTTCCTCCACTTCTGTACCATTGATTCATTAATGTTGAATTCTCTGGCAGCTGCTCTATTCCCATGTTGTTGCAGTATATTAATGACTAACCTCGTATTGTGGATGGATTATCTCAGTTGTTCTCCTGACTGAAGTTTGGTCCGTTTACAGCATCCTGCCATGCGATTGCATTTGTCTCTAACCATGAGGAACCTTCACGTTAACTTTTATAAGTGGAAAAGTGTTAGTGTTCGTCCTCCAGCTTCACTGTTTATGTTATGCTAACATAGCTGTGTCGCTAGCGATCACGTAGCACATCATTATATACCAGCTAGCCCAACTTCAGTAACCCTACAAACGTCACTGCTGTTTAGTTTCCTGTCTTCATTTATGTTGGAAGTGATAGCAGAGCTGTACGTTTGAATTTTTTCAGAAATCTCTCAGTCAGAACATGCTATATCATGCTTAGGTAACTAGCGAAACTAGCGAGCTAACTTCCGCTAGCTTCCTGCTAACTTCTAACTCCGTTAAATGTAATAAATTCTGTTTTCATGGATGCCTGGAAGTTAAACTTCATAGTTACACCTGGTAAAGCAGCAATGCTGATCGTTTTATTAAAGATGAAAGAATTTAGACAGTTTTTAACTCTCAGTGATGCTGCAGTGTTGTTTGACCTGAAGATACGGAGTTTAGGACCCAGATTACTCCCAGATTTAAGAGCATCTTAGTCCGACAAATACGACAATAACGACGGCCGCTTGCATGTTCTGCAAAAAAATGTGCTTTGTCGTGTATCTGACGGACAAACACCAAACCAGTTCCACATCACTGAAGTTGCACCATTTTTACAAACCAATTCTGGTTCATCTGTTTCACTCAACAATCGGCCATGTGCGTATGAAAACAAAGGCACTGCGCATGCGCGTTTTACTCCCATTCTATCGCGATATTTCATTTTCCTATCGTTGCCTAACATTATACCGGTATTACCGTGAACGGTATAATATGGCCCAGCCCTAAATCATAATATTAGAAATGTAGAAACACTTAGAATAGCCCTTTACTGTCATTGTATCTATTCTGGAATAACTTGGTATAATCCAGTGCAATAATAACAGTTCAGTTAACATCCCGACTCTGCTACTGCAAACACTGACACGCCCACAGGCACGCCCACTCAGAAAAGGATTAATGGACTGTTAACTGTATTTCATGACATGCAGCTACATACATAACTACTCAATGTGACAGGGCTTTGTTTGTTGCTATTGCCGTTTCTCACCACATACACCGTCATGGCATCAAATGCCCACACAAGTACAGGAAAATTATACTTTTAGGCAGTGCTTAATTAATCTGAAAAATCTGTTAAGGTGAGGTTTATATTGAATTTCAATGTATAAAAAAATTCCTTTTTTAACTCTTCAGTTTGAAATTATGGATTTGCATTACTTAAAAGCCAAACAGATGTAGAGCCACACACATGCACAGTAACTTAGGGGCTATAGCCAGACATGTTTATAGCACGGTAAAATTGTCGTTAGCTGCAAATGATTTTAACATGCAGAGCATTAGCTGAACATTGTGCCCTAGCTGTCTGCTGCCTTGACCTGATTGTACATCCTTAGCAAACTGGAGACTGCAGCCACTGTGAGAATGAAATATGGGACATCCCAGGTCAACCTAAAAAAAGGGTGACCATGTGATGCATTTCCTCCTCCATAGTTTCTTATTTCTATTCATAAGTAAGTAGGGCACCAGTAAGACGCTTGGATAACTCCAATTATCAGTGTTCATTAGTACAACCATGCATATCAACATGTTACATATGACTAGATTATTTTCAAGTCAAATCAAATTTATTTATAGATGTTTAAAAACAACTGGAGTTTACTAAATCATGATGTAAGTGTTACAGGATAGACAGTATCAGGAATTTTCTCCGGAAATCAAGACAAAAAAAACAACAACAATCTTTTGCTTCATTTTAACGGTCTAAATTGTTCCTCTTTAGTCAGTCACAAGTTCTGATTGGCTGACTTTCATGTAGCTTCCATCAGTTTCAATGAGTACTAATATTTTTTTGTAACAGAAATGTTTTTCTTTAATCCATCACCATCAGTCTATAGAGTATCGACCGTATACGGTCTGTATTTCTCTTTAAATTCAGGTGTGAAAAGTCAGTGTCATGACTGGAGCTGAGACTGAGGATGATATTCCATTAGGTGAAAGGAAGACTGTCACAGACTTCTGCTATCTCCTGGACAAGTCCAAGCAACTCTTCAATGGGCTACGGTTGGTTGGAATTTACTTTGTTTTCTTCTGTCTGCTGGACTGTGTTTTCTACTCTAACATTGGTTTACAGTGCATTGAACAGATACCCCTCAAGAGTGTGTTTTCACTGGATTATTCTGCAGCATT